AGCTTCACTCTAAAGGCACCCTGAACTAAATGGCGATGACCGGAGCCCACATCTGCTTCCTTTCTCCCCTTCGTGTCTAGCAGGCCTCATCTCTATTTTCTTCAGCAGCATTCAGATTAAGTCTATCTGGGTGAAAATCCATGTTGACTTGTGTGCTTGTACACGCTGCCTCCAATCACCAAATCACTGAAGGCACAGGTACCTGAGAAGTGTCTTCTCTTCTCAGTCATTTCACAGAACGACAACCTCTCCACCCATCATGAGTTAGTTCTCTTCCTACACTGTCTACTCCCACTTCGATTGGCATTCATATCGCCCATTAGGATTTTGATGTCTCCATTTGGGATGTTGTCCGTTACTGTTCGCAGTTGACTATACAAATCCTCCCTCTTCTCTTCTTCTGCGTCGTTTGTAGCATTGCGCGTAGCATTGAATAATCATAACCTTCCTTCCATCCTTCCTTCACTTCGATTTGAATCTTGCTGTCATTATCCCACACGAGGACATTGGTCCCAATTAGACCTGCATTAGAACTCCGACTGCTGTTGGCGACATCATAATAGCCACTCACTGCATCAGTGTGCTCGTAGTTGTCATCTAGATGGCCAGAGTAGAGTACATTACTGACTCTCCAGTTGACAACTTCGATAGTCCACATCCATTCCACCTGTTCTCACAGATTCCTAGCACTTCCATACCTTATCTTCTCATTTCATTAACTACCTGATAGGGTCCGACATAAAATAGTATATCATCATTTCTTACACATATCGTGACTTGTGTGATCAATTATTTCCGACGACTGTGAGCTGACCTTATTCTTGCAAAAATGTATAAATATAATGTGTCGTTTCCCTAATAAGTATATGGTACGTTACAGTACAGTATCTTAAAGTCTTTTGATATTTGCGTGGATCAGTGAATCAGCAAGTACAAGGGGAAAATAGACATATTAAGGTACTAGTCGAGTTCATTACCGTTATTACCAAGTAGCAGGCGCAGACATAACAAAGTGGAGACGGGTTTATTCAGTTCAGTGCAGTTACAACACTACCTGTGTAGCCTTCCCAGCTTCGTAAATTGTACGAACATTCTACATCACCATGCTTATATTTGCTTCCATGGAGAGATGACAGATCGGCTGGCTGAATGGCTTCGCGAAGACTTTCTCCAACCCTCTGTTTCATTTCGTCTCACCAATTCCATTAAAAATAAGTTTGTTTTCTATACTTTTAATATTTTTCTTGTAGTTTGGTGTTTCTGTGGGTACTGTATTGATTTTCCAGGGTGGATTCTCTAGCCGCACACGCAACTCCCCTCTTTACCCCGGCTTGGAACCTGTCAGAAAACCAGCGAGCTAGTAAACTGGACCAGGTTGACATGTTGCTAGGCTATTCAAATACATTAGAATAAATGTATCCAAATGCCAGTTCACTCAAAACCGTATATTTTCTGAATAACCTAGCGACATGCCGTTTACTTTCAGTCAAGTCATGGAATGTGTCCATTTGAATTGGACAGAATAAGATATCTTCATACACATGACCATCGGCACCATCAAAGTAACACTAGGATATACAACAGCCGACTAGCTGGTGTCTTTTCCTATTTTTGACAAAGAATTTGACAGTTGAGACTTTTAATGATGGTTACTATAGTGAATCTCGGAGGTTTGGCGTGATGTCTACACGTATTCTGTACTTTTTATTTCTACCTGAAACCGATATGTTGGTCAGTAAGGAAGTGTAGTGAAAGAAATTGCATTGTACTTGAGCGATGAAAGTGAACTGAACCACAGATTGACTACTTCTGTCTTGATACGTGTTAGGAACTCTAGATTTTGTGTAGCAGGTTATCTGAAAACATCATTTCACTAAGACGGTTTCCAGATATTTGTACCCTAAAATTTGTTCCACTCCATTTTTATTAATCCTATGCACTTAAGAAGTAAAGTAACTGAGCAATTCGCTGTTTTCAGATTCTACATGACCACAATTCGTCTCAATTTTCAGGTGAATTAATCGGTGAAAGTATACACATTTATCTGTTCGGTTTTTTTTATTCCTTCACGTTCCCAGTGGAACATAGGGCTTCAAGCTAGTGGCTTGAAGTTTCGATAGCAGTTGTGATTATTTTTACAGTATGGGGTTGCTAGCCTCACGCCCAACCTTTCCTCTTTACCAGCTTTATTGCTGGCTTAACGAGGTAAAGGAGTGCGTCCTGTGGCCGGGGATTGAACCCCTGACCATGTGCATGGTCGGCGAGCGTCCTAACCGCTGTGCCACAGACTCACTATCTGTTCAGTAGTGAATGATAATTTCACTTTATAACAGACTAAGTGTACATTTATTGAGTATGTAGTCAAAAAGTGTCTATCAGTAATTTCTCTCTAAGTGCAGAAAATGTGATAGCTAGAGAACTGTAAGAAATCCTGAAGATTCGATTATCACTCACATTTTAATTAGAATCTTTGGAAATTATTCTTTTCGTGCTAGGACAAAGAATGTGAAGTACAGGTTTACTGATCTGAACTGAAGGTAGAAACAACTGGATCTATGTAACATCTTTAAGCTGAAAAAAACAGCAACATGCACTATTATCTGGAACGTTCCTACACATTTCACAAATCACTGGTATGCTCAAAATAAAATAATCGGATAGCAGATTTGTCACAGTCATTTAGTTAAAAAAAATCTTTAGAAGAAAGATAACGATTCAAGTATTGGCTTAAAGGGATTTGACTGAATTTAATTTTGGTCAGTTAGAGAACCACTGAGACAGCTTTTGGTAAAAGTCAGAATTGTTGGGCCGACCGGATTCCGTCCCAGTGGTTGAATGGTACACCAGTCCACCTTGTAACCTGAAGGTCTTGGTCAAAGTTTTGAATGAATGACTTCATCACAACTTAATTCTCAATATTTCTAAAGAATTGCAAAGTTCTATGAATAAGTGAACACACCTTTTTCTTTACTGCCTGATTGCTTTTCTGAATCTGTTCAGGTGATGGCAGCTTGAAATGGAAGACATTTATAGTTGCATAGTGATCTCAGGTGTAGTAGTGATAGTCTGTCTATTTGAATGTCTTATGTTAACGGCTAAAAGTATCAGAAAAGTATTTCGCGATCAATGTCCTCACACACACACACAACTTAAAACCTATTCACTATTCAAACGGACAGTTTCGTACCTACTTCACCTGCACTCGCTCCTTCATGTTTATACTTCATTTCCATTAGTAATCATAATTTTTGCTCTGATAACTGCTACTAATAAGTATAACTTGAACTAACTTCACTTCGGCTTTCGACTCTGTACCTAGATGTCTCTTGCTAAATAAGCTCTCTGTGACAAAAATTGAGTCCTGGGTCACTAACTGGTTGCATTCCTACTTCTCTTACAGAAAGCAGTACACCGTATACAAAGGCAAATCCTCCTCTGCTGCGCTCACTGAAGCTGGTGTCCCCCAAGGTGCTGTACTCTCCCCACTTCTCTTTTCTTTCTTTCTACATGATTCACCATCTTCAAATGACATTAAATTTGTCAAATATGCTGACGACCTGACTGTATCTTTGCCTGTCAAATGTCAAAGTGACTGCTCTAAACTTAATGGCTTTCTGTCAGAAATCAGCCAGTGGTCCAAGGAAAACAGTCTTACCTTAAACCCCTCCAGATGCCAAACAGTCAATTTCACCTTGAGGCATAAATCCGACCTAAACAAACTGGTTGATTCTCACGAGGTATGCAACATTGATGGCACTGAAATAGAAACCAAGTCGGAAATTAAATACCTAGGCGTCATTCTATCTGCTGATATCTCCTGGTCGTCTCACATCTTGGCGATTTCTAAGAAAATATTCCGTCTTACCTTCTACATCAGGAAGTTAAGACATTCTGATAGAACCCAACCCTTACTCCTACAATTTGTTAACTCTCGCATTCTGCCTATTATTCTCCATTGTTCCCCCTTAGTTTTTCCAGGGCTACTGAAGAAAGACTATAACATATTACGCAGGATGTTAATATGATGTTGATATGATTATAAGCAATAGTTTATGCTCGAAACGTCATCAGTTAATATTACCGTACAACACTGAGTTATTTATGAAAATAAAATCTTATCCATAATAGAGCAGTATGTTAAAGGTTGTCAGCAGCAACGTGCCACTTAACCAACTTGTTAATATTCTGGTTGACAGGCAGGCACATGGACTCATGTGAAAAATGGGCCAAATCCATTTTATCTAACTCACACCACCCTCTTCACTCACAACTCTCCCCTTGCATCTCATCAGGTAAAACCAGAAGCCTACACAGAAAACTTTATGCTCGCAACAGCAAGTACAAAAACTGAACCATACTCTACTTAGCTCGTGTTCTGTGTGATAAAGAAAGCATTCATTAAATAGTCAGTAGTACAACTGGACCTCGTCTTTCCAACTAATATAATTTATAGGTACAACATTTTCTCTCTTTCTTTTCCTATTCTCTCTCTCTTTATTTTCCGTTTTGTACTGCTGTGTTTCTTTCTTCCGCTCACGCCAGCAAATAAGACAGCACCTACTTTTCTAACACCTTCAAACACTGTTAAACTTTGGCTTTGCTACCGACCTCCCAATACGTTGTTGTCATAATGAACTGAGATTTCCCTAATCTATGTAGAATTCTATTTATTGCTAATGTACTAACTGGATGCAATACTGTAGTAAAAATGCTGAGAATTCCATTCTGTATCACAAGTACTGTTTTGGAATAAAGCGAATTATTATTAATGTTATAGGTTCTATGGTTTTCTAGCAATCCACTGGCATCAGATAATCATCAAAACTGAGTTTTTAAAAAATTGTTGACATTTTCTGTAGACTAACTCCGGCTAACAAATTTATAACAAATATAAGCTATCAAAAAAATACTGTATTTTATTCCATAAAATACACAGTGGACACAAATATTCGAAAGTTCAAAAATGTACAGATAGGCGTTTGATTACATGAACAGTAAACCTATCTATTAATTTTTAAACAATATTGAAATAGTAAAATTGTTTTTTCATTCTTCCTTTCTTTTCAAAAGTGAAAAGATAAGGTTATTTATGTTGCACAGCCATATATATTTTTAAAGGGCGCACACAATATTGGAGGGAAGTTTGACATTCGAGTTAGGATAACCTTAACATAATCATCATTATCAGTGAATACGTCCTTTTTTCTCCCTTTCATCATTGGGTTATATACATTGGAATCATATTCATTGAGTAATGGTGTCTTTTGCTATTTCCTTTGTCATCAGTATTCGAAGTTAAGTGGCTGGAATTATCATCACCATCTGGATTATTAACATCACAATTTCTGCTCGAACGTCTTTGGTGTTGTTGTCGTTCTCGCGTAGGACTTACTACGCATGAGAATTCTCTGACCTGTGTATCAGCAGCATCATCTCCATCCAAATCACTCCAATTTCCAGGCGGTAATTCTTCACATGAATAACAAATCCCTCTTCTCCAGTGTTGTTTCAGTCCCTTAGAATCAAGAAATTTATGATGACATCTTGGACAAATGAATGGTCTTTCATTGGCGTGTAGGCGCCGATGTAATTTCAAGTGAATAAATTGGCTGAATTTAGCTGTACATAATTTACATGCGAATGGTTTCTCACCACTATGTAGGCGTAAATGTGTTTTTAAATTACTAGTACTACTGAAACGTTTTTCACAGACTGTACACTGATGAGGTTTCTCACCGGTATGCACTAAGTTGTGCTTTTGTAAATGGGCTAACTGTGTGAAACCTTTATGGCATGTATCACAACGAAATGGTCTTTCACCTGTATGCGTACGCAGATGCACTTTTAAATTGGATAATTGTCCAAAGGTTTTACGGCATATATTACATTCATAATGCATGCGACCATCACGCTTTGTTAACGGGAATGGTAAGGCTCTGTAGCCCCGTTGCTGTAGGTTGTCATTTGCATTACTGTTAGAAACCAATGATTTACCACGTAGTCTCGAGTAATTTGTGTGCAGTCTACAGTTGGACAGAATTGATGATTTATGCGTATTGTTTGCAGGATGTTTGGAGTTCTCAGTGGCAGTCATTGATTCACATGGGACAGATTGACTTGTAGTAGGTATTTGATAGTTATAATGCCGCTGACCATACATTTTGGAACATGAATGCGTAGATGCTGTCGTTAATGGATTACTACAAGAAGTTGTCGCCTTATTCACATGAAACGATCCAAACAAGTTATTCTGGAGATAATCGTACTCACTCATATTCGTATTACTACTTATTATTGTTGTGGGAAGCTGGGGAATTGTCTGGGTATTTTTTTCATAATCATTAAAATGGAGTGTATTTAAATTTGTACAATTTTCGTATAATTTATAAAAAGGTGACTGGATATTTTCAGAGGTAAAAGGTAGATTATTGCCATATTGAGATTTATTATTGTGAGCATCATTTATCATACAACACGACTGGGGAGATAATGTTGAGTTAGTATTTAACGACAACGAATCTGACGGGTAATAAGAATTGTCTTTCAAATGAGACTGCAATGCAAACAGGTTTTCCGTAAAACTTTCTAATTTACCGCAGTCATTTGACGTATTTACTGGTGGGTGAATTGATGAATTATACAAGAAAGGATCACTTTTTGCTTCATTAACACTGTTACTATGACTGCTGGTATTTTTTGCATACGATAAGGGTTCGGACTGAGATTGTTCCGTCACTTTTAAATCTCCAGGTGACATAGATTGACTAAAGTCAATTGGTTTTGATTGTGTCTGGTTCAGCTGTTCCAACCACAATTTATAAAATATGCTGAACCAGAAATGAAATCCTGTTTGTGGATACGACAGAGTTGATAACGATGACACTGTAGAAAATGAAGATGACGAACAAATGGGTGGGGGTAACGTCAGATTAACAGTGGGATTAACAACACCAGTCAGCTGTTCATTCGGAAACCATTCATTGTTGTCACAAATATGATTCTTGGCATCAACATTATTGAAGCCAAACTGCACTGAATTGTTGAATTTTTCTGGAGCCTCCAAAATATTTCTTGAGTGATCTGACACTTTCAATAATAGATCAGAGTCACGTGTATAACTGATAGGTGATTCCTGTTCTGACAATAAAATACGATCAATTGTATAGGTTAGATTAGATTTGATTTCATCACTATGGTTTATAACATTACTGTTGTTGCTCAAAGAATTATTTGAAGATTGATTACCATCCGACATTGAATCTGGAAAGTTCAGCATCAGTGAAGGATCTTCTATAGATGAATTGTGACATTCCTTAAAATAATTTAAAAGAGAGTATGGAAAACTGTTATATAGAAAATTATACAGCACCACATAAAAGTCATTTTGCAAAATTCAAGTAGACACCAACCAACACAATTTGTGAACAAAGTGTATGCTTAGGTAAGATGAATCAACTATTTGAATGCCTTGTATATATACTTCACTTAGTTATGACTTGGGTCTACAGATATGGACTACATAGTGAGTGCCATAATATACTTCGTGTGAGTCTCTAAAAGTGGAGTGACCACTGGACCGTATTGTGTCAAACTCGAAGCTTCATTTTCCTTTGTTTGACCCCCAACAGAGTACACTGCTGAAAAGCCCCAATTCAGGAGGTTGTTTAATGCTTCTTATTTTTTCAGCGGTGAAATTTATTAGTGACTAGGCTAACTTCCAAAAGTAGTGGAGATAAAAACCCAGAATGCGAACAGGATCCCTGCGTCGAAGAAAACCACTTGATAAGGAAAGACAAACAAAAGGACGTATATGGCTGTGTGAAACCTTACACAAAAGTATATTAATTCGGGTGATAGTTATTTCTAAAGACATATTAATTAGAAGACCATAGATGTTAAAAATAAGACGATAACGAAGATTAGCCAATGCAAGATTAGTAGGTCTAGTACAATAAGCCATCCAGACGATATAACAGAAAACATGAGTTGACTGGAAGGTATCTATAGTGGTGTCTGCGCCTACTAGAATTTGCTCAAAAAGTTCTCTATTTAGGTTAGTTTGGCTTCGACTTGAATGAGCACAGTGTAGTAAAAATCTTATTGTGTAAAAAAGAGTAAGACGCAAAATGTATTAAATAGCAGAGACAGTCAGTCAGTCAGTTACAGACATTCCTTTTCTACTTAACATTTCCTTTTCTTTTCATCAGCTAAATAAGTCATAAACTTCAGTTATGTAACATTATTTTTGATTAATTTATTCTCCTGATAATTTATATATCTCCTATATCCATCCCATAAAGTCATATTTCTCCAAGCAGCCCCTCCCCCCCCCAAAAAAAAACTGCCCACTTCACCCATAAAGATGTATACACACAAATATGTGTACTTCAGAATATCGCTCTTACTAAGCAGTATTCAATAAGTTCCACTTGTGAAAAGTAACAGTTTTTTCTGCATATGGACAGATCATCTTCACAAAGTGAAAATCAACACACTGAAGATTTATGCCTTCAAAAATTGTTTCTTGGCCCAGTTTTCACCATTTAATTTACGATGAGGAACAGAAGGGAGGAAAAAAAGAAGTTATACTGAGCTGACATACATATATGCGAAAAATTATCTTAAGTAGTAGTAGAAGTAGATGTAGCAAGAATCAAGCAAACAGAGTAGGAAAATTAAAACCTACTAGTGTTGGTTTGTAGGGATTTGATTGGTTACAGGATTTCATCATCAACCTACTAGTCTGTGTCACAACTTTTCGGCTTCGTCTCTATTTCTCTCACACTTTTTTTTGTTAAAGGTGAGATTGAATTTAGTTGTAGAAAGAGTTATTTTTGTATAATTTATATGATTTCTGACACATTGTTGTATATTGCATATAATGATAATATATTTAATAGTACTGTTTTGTGCAACAGTAACAGAATTGAACATAAACAAATAACCAAGTTTTTGTTTAAATGTAACACAATCACTTTTTTTTTCTTTAAGAAAAAATAAAAATAGAGAAAAAATGTACATCAACAGAGTTCATCAGCCATTTTTCTTCCCCTAAAGCCTATGTTGTCTTGATCAGATAGATGTTACATCCTTCATTAGAACGTTCGATTTTGGAATGAATTAATTCTACACATGGAAAGAAAAACAATGTTCTAAAAAACATTCTAGTTACATAGAGTTATTTAAAGTAGTTATTATTTCTAGATGAATTATTTTCGAAGAAATCAAAATCTCATTTAATCTCCAGAATGGTGTGAAATGAAATAATGAGGTGCTACAATGCATTCAAATGAAGTTATACTGTTAAAATGAGTTTAAGTAAGCAAAGCGTTATCTGTCGGTTAGGGATTTTGTTCATTCAACTTGTATCAACACATTAAAGTAAACAGTTGTCGATCACTGAATAACCATTGATATAACCCTTAAGATTTTACTGTTGAACTGTAACTGTAACAGCACAGCATACTCCAAATAGTTCCATGTGTCATGGGTGTATCTGTAAGATGTCTTCAGAACGGCCTTTCACAAACCTGTAGCATTTTATACTCCTTCTAGCATTCCAACCTATATCAGTCGGTGGTGATGTCAAATACCTAACGTCTCAACTGTTTAGAGAATATGGACTTGGATTTCATAAGAGAAATGAGCTTTTCCACAGTTCTAAGTACATCTTTTTTGATGCCTGCTAACCTGGCCAAAGCAGGGATAGCCTTTTAAACAGTATTAGGAACTTTTCCAAAGATGTTTGCAGTTAGTTAAAGCTTACATTCATAGGTCAACAGTAATAATCTCCCTTTGTTTTTATAAATACTCATCTTTCACAAGTGCTTTCCACCTTGAAGTCAAGTGACGCAACAATGAGTTCGGCTCAAAGTGATCGCGAGGGGTTTTCGTGCACAGTATAGTGAAAGCCACAACACATATTCCAGCTGTATAAAGAGATCAATAAAACACCTTTAAAACGGCCAAGTGTAACATCTGATATGATTAAAGTATTCGTCTACGCACATAATACAAAGTTATATAAGACCATTTACTTAAAGAGATTCAGATCGTAATTGACTGCCTTCGTTTTAGCCATCCAAGTGGGCTGAAACGAAAAGGGGATAAATTCGTCTGGCCCCACAACAATACTGTGTACACTATGATTGTATGATAAATGTTGTTCACTATCGTCACACACCTAGAACATGTCGTGTCACGCTTCGCCTACACATTCCCCTCCTGATAAACTTCATTAGTCAGTACAACTGATAAATCACACATTTGAAATGCACTACATTTCATTGCAAATTTGTAAAAGTGAGTAAATTTGAGATCACTTATAGACAGTTGTCAGCATACACACGTTGATTTTCAATTATGACTTCATCAAACGAGTCAATAAACTGTTTTAAAGCTATCATATCACTGAAACGACAAAAACACACACTTGCTTAAAGACATAACATAAGTCTAATGACTTCAACAGGAGAAGATCAAAGCTGTTTAATGAAGCATTCTTAAATTTAGCTTGTTGCTTTTAAATTACCTTTCAAAAAGTGTATTTATTCTCCAATCAAAGGAGATTTCTTAATCTATCCATATAAGGAAAGCTTTTTCAGCTTACAAAAACTTGTTGTTGCTGTTAGTAATAATTTAAAAAAAAAGAAACAGAATAGAAGAGTTGTGATTTTGGTTTAATGTTCAGAATTTTGTTGTTGTCAGGTTAAATGGTTTAATAAGCAACTAATTGACTGTAGTTAACTGACTCACTGACTCACTGAGTGATTGATTGATTGACTAACAGACATATCGAACAACCAGCCGACCGACTAAACTAACGTACTAGCGATCTGATGAATAAGTGATAAAATAAGCCTGCCTCATTTATTTCAAAGGTTTGGAATTGAAAATATGTTCACCTATTATTTATTTTTTTTAATCATTTCAATGTTCACTTCATTATGCATAAAAGTGTGTTTTTATATACATAACAACAACAGCAACAGCAGCAACAACAACAATCACGAAAAGAAGACATGGGAGGAGAGAATTTCAACTGATCCCTTTTTTTATAATTTTATTTTCTAGTCAAAGCACGCTTAATGACTAAATGCCGTTGTTTTATTCTTCTATAGCCAAGCCTGTGAAAGTCGTTATAAATTTCAATAAATCAATCACTGTTGGGGCTATCATAGCAGTGATAAATAGGTTCACAGATGGCGTGTGCGAATGATCTTAGTGAATGAGTGAAACACTGGCCACAACAATTACAATAAACATCAACAACAACAACAACAACAACAATAAAAGCAACAGCAACTTGTTGTCATCTGAACCAGGAAACCAACTTATTAGTAGTAGTAATAATAATGATAATAAAATTGTGTATTGTTTGTTTACATGTTGCTGTCTTTTTTAAAGATAAGCGAATTTCAAAAGAGTCAGTCTACATGCATCGGAATTTGTTATTTTATGTGAGATTCAGTTCAGTTTGCCAATGAATAAATAGGTGATTTAGATGGTTACAGAAAGTGATAATTTCAAAACAGGTGAATCACGAAGTGAGTGAATGAATACACAAAATCGTTAATTGTCGAATAGTGTATACAAAATAAAACAAAAGTCATTTTAAACAAAACTAGGTTCATTCAATAAAGTCTTCAGTTAACTATGCTTCTAAATATTAAAAAAAATATGTGACGAAATTCATACGACTAATGATACCTGAATAATAGTCCTAAAGACAAAAATACACACACACACAAGTTCTCCATTCACCCAAGTTACTAACAGTACGGAAAGGGTGATTATTATTTATTTTATTCTTGTAGGTCCCCAGTGAAACATAGGGCTTCAAGCTACAACTCTGAAGTTCCGGTAGCAGTGCTATTTATTTTTACGGGATGGGGTTGCTAGCGTCATGCCCAACCTTGTCTCTTTACCAGTTTTATTACTGGCTTAGCGAAGTAAAGGAGTGTGTCGACGGGGATTCGAACCCCGAACCACCTCTGTGGTTGGCGAGCTTTCAACAGCTGTGCCACCAACTCATGAACTGGTGATTCACGCACCACTGGCACCATCAAAATCGATTTCCAATTAATACAAACTTCCTGTTGAGTGATGGACAGTTGTAAAGGATGACGAGTCTCAAATGCCAAATAGTTAGCTATACTAGGCTAGCTAACAGATTTAAGGAGAACTATTTGGTGGTTATGATATGAGAATACATCTCAGCAATCACTACCTGTACAAAAGCAGTCAGAATGATTTGGTATTCGGTACAACGAAATACAGATGCCAAAGAAATAGTTGCCATGACTTTAGTAC